CTCTTGGTACATGGGTCGACGCTCAACCACTGAGCCATACTGGCTGGGTGATGATCATATATTCTTTTTGAGTCAAGAAAAAAAATGTGTGGTTGTTTTGTAGCTTTATTTTGGTAATAGATAACTGCTGTAAAAGTTGGTACCAGAAAGTGGAGAGCTATACAACAAAAGCCTAAACTAGATGGTACTGGCTTTGAAAAGTAGGGAGTTGGGAAAACTGTTAGCAGAGAATGAAATTATGGTGAGGAAACTGCTTTATTAAGAAGCTGTTATGAAACATTTGATAAAGCAGCTGCCTGTGTACCTTGGGAAACAGGAAATATACCTGAAGAACTTGGGCTTTGGGCAAGGATATCTCCAGGTAAAAGGTAGAAAGTGCCACCTGGTGGCTTTTAGCTGCATAGGCTGAAGTACCACAAGAAAGAGCTTTAGGGAAGGAAAAAAAAAAAAGACCTTGTTAGGTTGCAAGCAGAAGTTAAAGGTAATATAGAAAGCTAGAGCTACTAAATTGGAAAATGAAACGGTTGTCTTATCTCTAACCACCCAATAACAAAGTCTCAAAGACATGAGCACATGTCCAACATCAAATCGAGATTGTGACTCTCAGACATTTTGATAAGACTGCTGAGAGAGTTAAGGTGGTGTTGAGTAGATCCTTCAAGTGGACAAAAGCGTTAGGGTGTGGTCCCCCAAAAGCCTGATCCAAAAGTGGCAGTAAGAAAATCTAGAAGAGCATATGTTGATACCACTTCACTTCTAGGTGTGGCTTTGCAATGTGTAATGGACCACAGTCAGATACAGAAAGCTCTTAAGTTTTGAAGAGCGAGGTGTTAGCAAAACCACCAACTGCCTGACCAAAAGATGGATGAAACTATAAAAATGCCTCTTGGCCCCTGACTGTTTTAGTGTAGGAAGCAGCCTGAAAAAGCTAATCAGCTACAAACAAGGATCATTTCTTCAGAAGGAATAGAGGAAGGGATGGAAAAGGAGGACATCTCAGATGGTGTCACGAAGAGCAGTGGAGAACAGTGAGACAGGAAGCCACTCCTGGAGAGCAGGGTCGGGCCTAACGGAACATTTCCTCACTGCCAGAATGGGAGGCCCGGTGGGATCGGAACTGTTATGAACCAGTGACTATATGCTGCCCATTCTTACCCTTTCCAATGGGTCTGTTTATTGTGGTTATCATGTTCCTTTTTTATGACTGTATAGTGTGTGTGGGGGGGGGTAGAGGGGCAGGTAACTTGCCTTCATTTCACAGGTCTCTGGAGCAAGAGGAGTGTGTGTGCACCTGACATATATCACAGGGTCCTAGACTGAAGGCTGATACAGGGTCCCAATGACACCTGGGTGGGCGGTGGGGGCGTCGGCAGTGGAGTTCTGACTAGCCCCATGTCCCACTACCTTGTTCCGCCTGGTTGATGCCAGGTGGGAGTGGAGGCCCGGATGCTCACCGAGCCCTGCTCAGACACCAAGGAGGTGTGTTAGTTTCCTACAACTACTATAACTACCACACATTTGGTAGCTTAAAAGAACAAATTCATTCTCTCACAGTTCTGGGCCAGATGTCTGAAATCAGTGTTATCAGGGCCTCAGAGTTTCTAGGGGAGAATCCTTCCTTGTCTCTTCAGCTTCTTGTGGCACTAGGTGTGCCTTGGTGTGTGGCTGAGGAACTCCAGTCTCTGCCTCTGTCTTCACACGGCCTTCTCCTCCCCGTCTCTTCACGGTGCAGCTCTTACAAGGACACGAGATTAGATTTGGGGCCCACCCAGACAACCCAGGATGATCTCATTTTGAAGTCCTTAACTTTTACATTTGCAAAGATCCTTCTTCCAAAAGGGTTACATTCAGTGTTCCAGGGGTTTGACAAGGACAGAGCTTTTGGGGGGCCACCATTCAACATACTATAGAGAGGACACTGATGCTGGTGGGGACGAGGCTGAGCATCTTGCTGGGCCTGGACCCCGAGGATCAGGGGAGGGCAGTGAGGCTGAGGGTGAGTAGCCCTTCTTTGCACTAGCTGGTTAAGTTTTGGTGCTGTTAGGTGAGGGGAAGCTCACTTTGCCACGGGACTCCCCTGACACTACCCCAGCAGGGCTATCGAAGCGGTGCTACCTGCTTCTGCTGCGTGGAAGGTGGAAAATCAGCTCCCTGCTTGGTCAGTCTGCACTGGAAGGGTGGTCAGAGTGCTATCCGCTTCTGGCAGTGGAAGAGGGAAGCTTAGCTCCTTGCTCTACCTTGCCAACACCACCTGCCTCTGTGGGACACAGATGCGGTGGGTGGAAGACGACCTCTCTGCCTGGCCCCACTGAAAGCACAGGGTGAGGTGGGTGCAATTTTTAGGCTTCTGTTTGGTTGGTGCAGGGTGGCTATTGTAAAAAATATGTCTGACTAGAACAAATACTTCAAAAGTTCATATGGAACCAAAAAAGACCCCGAATAGCCACAGCAATTTTGAAAAAGAAGGACAAAGTAGGTGGGATCACAGTACTAAATATCAGGTTATACTACAAAGCGACTGTAATCAGAACAGCCTGGTACTGGCACAAGAACAGGCATATAGACCAGTGGAACAGGACAGAGAACCCAGAGATGGACCCAAGGCAATATGTACAATTAATATTTGACAAAGGTAGCAAGAGCATACAGTGGAGTAAAGACAGCCTCTTTAATAAATGGTGTTGGGAAAATTGGACAACTATGTGCAAAAAATGAAACTAGACCATCAACTCACACCATACACAAAAATAAACTCAAAATGGATAAAAGACTTAATGTGACCCGTGAATCCATAAAAATTCTAGAAGAAAATGTAGGCAACAAAATTTTGGACATCATATGCAGCAGAATTTTCACAGATACATCACCTAAGGCAACAGAAACAAAGAAAAAAATGAACACATGGGACTACATCAAACTAAAAAGCTTCTGCACAGCAAAGGAAACAACCATCAAAATGGAAAGGCAACCTACTGTATGGGAGAACATCACTGCCAATGATACATCAGATAAGGGGTTAATTTCCAAAATATAGAGAGTACTCATACAACTAAACAAAAGGAAGACAAAGAACCCAATTAAAAAATGGGCAGAGGAGCTGAATAGACACCTCTCCAAACAGGACATACAAATGGCCAAGAGACATATGAAGAAATGCTCAACATCACTAATCATCAGAGAGATGAAATTAAAACAACAATGAGGTACCACCTCACACCTGTCAGAATGGCTGCCATCAACAAATCATCAAACAAGTGTTGGCGAGGGTGTGGAGAAAAGGGGACTCTAGTACACTCCTGGTGGGAATGCAGACTGGTGCAGCCACTATGGAAAACAATATGGTGTTACCTCAAAAAATTAAAAATTGAACTTCCATTTGACCCAGTGATCCCGCTTCTAGGAATATACCCTAAGAAGCCTGAAACACCAATCGGGAAGATTACATGTACCCCCATGTTCACAGCAGCTATTTATAATAGCTAAGATCTGGAAACAGCCCAAGTGTCCAACAGTAGACAGATTGATAACAAAGCAGTGGTACATATACACAATGGAGTATTATGCAGCGGTAAGAAAGAAAGATCTCTTATCCTTTGAGACGACATGGAGGGACCTGGAAAGTATTATCCTATGCAAAACAAGCCAAGCAGAAAAAGACAAATACCACATGATCTCACTTAGATATGGAATATAATGAATATAACAGTCTGAGGAATAGACCCAGAAACACGGAAGTAGCGTACAGACTGACAACCCTCAGCAGAGGGGGTAGTAGGGGGAGGGAAGAGATAAACCACAGAACTTACATGCATGTATGCATAACCAATGGACATGGACAACAAAACCGGGGACGGAGCAGGGGGCGGATGGGGAGGAGGGTGTCAATGGGGTAAAAAAGGAGAAACACCTGTAACAAAAATAAAATTAAAAAAAAAAAAAGAAAAAAAAATGTTCTGGTAGGCTACCCTTTCGTTCACACCTACTCCTCTGAGTAGGAGGAACAGGCTTTTTTCTAGAAACTTTTGCTGTTCCTGCCTGTTGGTGGTTCCAGGCTGGAGCCTTCTGGAGTGCCCTGTCTGGAATAGATGGGAGACATAAGGACACCCAGAGAACTCACTATGTCATTTCTCAAGTCCCAAAGGCCCCGAGGAAGTCTACCCTCTTTCTACCTGTGCATGTCTTCCTATGCCTGTTTGTTGTGTTACGTACAGGGTCTTTCACTTGTAAGAGGAGGGATTCGGGAAGAATGGGCTACTACATCTTGGCTAGAACCAGAAATTGACTCATGGCTCATTCAGTTTTAAATTCTAAATATCATTGGTCATAATTCTAGTGGAATTCTTTTCAATTTTTATGCTCATGTTTTGTATAGTATCATTTTAAGCAGTACGTGAAGGAAAAATAATTTAAAATATATTTTGATCTTTAATTAATGCTGACCTTTGGCTGTATATGCTTTGTTAATTGATTCTTTTGCAGAACATTTTCCAGGGGAAAAAAGCAGAAGATAAAGTGCATTAAGAATACTTGTTATTGCCCTGGCTGGTTTGGTTCAGCGGTTAGAGCATCGGCCTGTGGTCCAGAGAGACCCGGGTTTGGTTCCCACTAAGGGCATGTACCTCGGTTGCAGTTTGTCCCTGGCCCTGGTTGGGTCGTGCAGGTGGCAGCCACTCGATGTGCACCTTTCACGTCGATGTTTCTCTCTTTCTCTCTCTTCCTCTCTCCCCCTCCCACTCTATCTGAACAAAAAATGGGAAAATGTCCTCGGGTGAGGATAAAAAAAAGAACACTTGTTATTGAACATCATTCTTGCATGGGATTCAAAACTATATTTCATACTGTTCTCTTGTACAACTATGAGTTCTTATTTTCACAAAGTACCTTCAGTAATTTGTGCAAGAATACTGTCTAGAATAGTTTAACAGTATTTATGCATATTGACTTAGAAGTAAACTGCAGTAACTGCTACACGATTTTACACGGCCTCATTTTAAATGGCCTCATTTCTTCTTGAGTGATGGTTGATAAGGACGGCGACATCCACGTCCCGGTGGAGCTCTGTGTGTCTTTATTCCAGTTTTTGCATTGAGGATGAGGTTTATTAAGTTGGAAGGCATAGTTGCTTCAATTATTGATGGGGACAACTTTCCTCTCATTTCTGTCTGGACAAACATCACTAGTTTGGAATGTGCTGGGTTACTGTAAACAAAGGAAGAGTTAAAAACATAAACAATCTTCATATTTATGTATTGAATTTACAAGCTTATAGACAGCAGGAGTCTTGTCTTATTCACCATGGAGTCCCTCCATAGTGCTTATGATAGAATACATAGCTACTGAGGGAAGGAAAGCAAAACAGAAGGTACAGTGATTTTCACACTCATAAACATTTTGCATATCAATATTAACTAGTCAGACTATGTCTTACAGTCTTCAGTTTTAGTCAGCTTTTCCTTTTTGTCATATTGATTTAAGTTACAAAAGTAATGTATGCTTATGAAACTTGAAATACAGAATTATCATAATGTTCCCTTCATTCTGTTCCTCACTATAGCTTTGACTGTATCATTTCAGACTGTTGTCTATTTTTATACAAAGACAGCATACCTATGTACATAGATATACCCCGCATATATCTTTTTGTTTATACAAAAAAATGAGAGAGATATTTTTTTCTGCAACTAGTTTTATTTCCCTCTTAGCAGGATACCATGCACGTCTTTCGGTCAATACGTACAGATCAGCTTGATTGTTTCTCATGACTGCATACAGTATTACATACTCTCACTTAACTCATTCTTTATTGATTATCATTTGCGTTGTTTCTCACTATAAATAAAACTGCAATAAACATCTTTGTAATATATCCATCTGCACTTCTATAAATACACAGAATTTATGTCAAGGTTTGCACATTTAACATTTTGAAATTTTATTTCCAAATTGCCCTCCAGTTATCTGCCCTGTGATCTTCAAACTGGGGTATATGAAGCCTTTCCAAGGGGTATGAGAAGATGATAACATTTAAGGAATACATTTTCAAATCTCTAACTACCCTATGTATCTTTTCTTAAACTCATCTGAGAATGTATCACTGATGGAGATGTGGTCTTTTCCTTTTCTACCAGCCTGTTCACCTCACGCTTCTCTTGCTTTTCAAAACAAAGGTATACCCCTTCTCCCCAACCCCAAATAGTACTGAGTAAGTACTCTGGTACTTTGCCCTGGTGTATTAAAATCTTTGAGATAACAAAGGGAAACTCATCTATTAGAAGTTAAGAAAGTGAATGACTAATGACGGTAACAAATCCTTACCAAGTCATGTTGTCAATTCTTTGCTTAAATGAAATTTAAGGATCTAATTTAGTTGTCAGTTGATAGGTCATAAAAAAGTTTTTGATTATAGTTTACTGTAATTTATGGTTCATAACTCAGACGAATTTCAAGGGATTGAAGGACAGACATACTCTTTCCATTTTAATCCACTTATTTAGGTGAACAGAATTTCTCAGTGCTTATGTTTATAAAATGCAAAGTAGACTAGACTTGATAATAAATGTATCATTTTATTAGTAATATCAACCCACAGTTAAGTGAGTGTGACTGGTAGAGAAGCACAGACTCTGTAATCAGTCTGCACTGGTTTAAAGCTGAGTTCTGAATAGTAACCTTGAGAAAGTTACTTAATCTCTCTGAGCTTCCATTTTCTTTTCTGCAAAATGGGTAGTAACACTACCTACTTAATGGAGTTATTGTGAGGACCAAAGGAGTCAATATATGTAAACTGTTTATAAAAATTCCCAGCACATAGTAAGTGCTATCTAAGTTTTGCTAATAAAAAATGTGTTTCCAACACAATTTTAATAATTATATAACATATTTAGTAATACATTTTATTTTGATAAATGCACATAACAATTTAATCCCACACACACTTATATTTTTAACATTTAGATATTTGTAATCACAGAAAATAAAATGAATTTTGAAAATTAAATATTCAATTTTGCAGAGAACTATGATAGAAGAATTCAAAGCATAAAGTATATTTTATTAGGATAAGATTACGTGAGGGAAAAAGAGTAAAAGATATGAGTTCAAGGAGAAAAGAAACGATGTAAAATTTCTGACTCAGAGGTTGTACGTATTTTTGAATTGATAATGTAATGGTGGGTTTTAAGATGTTATGGTATTTATATTCTAGTGGATACATTTATAAGGGAGCTATAACAATTTTTAAAAAGTCAGTATTTAGAGTATACTGGAAATTGCACTCTTATTTTGATCCTATAAAAATTTTAATAGCAATTTTAAAATATGTAAGGCAGAATATAGATTTACAAAATGTTTTAGGGGTATGAAGACCAGTGCTCCAACAAACCACGAGGGTAAATTTTCTTACACCCGTCGTTATGCAGAGTTCAGACTATTTTTATGGTGCTTCAAATGCTGGATTGAGAATATTCACTAGCAGTTTGTATGGTTAAATCTCTGAGTTTACTAGGGTTTTACACTCCAGAAAGCCTTCCCAGTACTTAATGGAGAGTACCTTTGCTATTGATAATATGTTTTATAAGTTTACTGCATGACTTATTTACAAATGTCGGCTGTCCAAAATGAGGGGCTGCAAGGAAAGGGAAGGTACAAAAGAAGCATGTTTTTGCCAGAACCTTTCTCTGAGACTGGATGAGACTACGTCTTTTCTCCGCAGATGCGAGGCCGCGTTCCCACCCACGTGGAAAGTCCAGGTCCGAGCTCTGTCCCATGGTTTTTGCAGTGGAAAGGGAGTTGACAGTACAAGAAGGGGACTTTGCCTGTGAAGCACACTTCAGAGTGTGTGGCTTCCCAACTAGGGTCCCTGCCAGCAGCAGATTTACCTCGCTGACTGGGAGTAATAGTCCTTCTCTTGTTCTGTTCTCTCCTGCGGTGGGGAATCAAGTCTTGGCCATAGATTCATACATCAGCATCATCTGCACCAATTATCCTGTCTATCAATGCAAATAACTGATTTTCTTTTAGTTCTCAAATTCAGTAGAGAAAACATAAGGAATACAGGTGTAAAATGTAATTTTCTTTTGACTTCCTTCAAATAAATATTTCTCTCATATTGAGAGGTTTATAATCCGACCAATATAAAGTTTTCACATCTGTCTTCATGTGCTAATTTACTTAACATAAAATCATTTAGAGAAGATTTTATGAAATGATATCCACTGAATCGATGCACATGCATTTACAGAATGTGTATTTTATGTTACCATTTTTATTATCCCCAGGCTGGCCATCTGTAGGCAATGAATGACTCATCTCTGATTTCTCCAACACTTATTTGAATTTGCCTACTAGAAGTCTCATTGTGCAGGTATCTGTTCTTAGTAGGCAGTCTACTAGAAAGAATGCAGTCAAGATAAATCATACACTGCTGATAAATGTAAGTGTATTATAATTCTAGGAAATTTTATTTTTAATTCACAAAAATTCCTCAATAATTCACAGAAGTGACTCTAATGAAGAAATGTAAAACATTAGGTTAAGGTTAACCAGGGAGGGGGACAATTATGTGTATGTGTGACTTGTCCCAGAAACTTCAAATCATACTTTATAGTGAATTATCTTTTCTGATTATATTTCATATTAAAATACTTAATAAAATCATTTTAAAGATCACATTTGGGGCAATCTTTCCCAATAGAATGTGCTGGTATATAGTCTATTGATTAGTTAGAAATCCTTTAGTTAAATCAAAAATTGAACTAAAAAACTGTTACTATAAATAAATGCAAATAACACTTACTCTTGCAGAGGTGAACAGACAAAGCCACAAGCATGGTTATAACCACGGATATAATCTGAAGATGGAGGATATCCTGGAAATTCCACACTTTTAGCTAGTGATTTAAAAATAATTAAAATGAAACCTATTCCACAAAGGTAAAAAAATTCTATTTCAAGTAGCATGTTTTAAAAATATATGACAGTTTTTAATTTAACTTAGTTATTATCAGCACTGACATTAGTTTTATACATGTGCATATATGCACATATGAATGTGTGCACAGGCCAGAACTGAGAAAATACCAGTTTGAGCTAATATTTCTAAAGATGCTGTTACTTTTTACATTCAGGAAAAACTGTTAAAAGTATCATTTTATTATTTTCTGAGATTTGAAGCAAAAGAAAAAAATCACAAAGGAAGAGACTTCTATTAGGAGAGTGGGTTTATAGATTTTCTGTTAATCATTTTTTAAATAAAATATTTAATGTATTTATTTGGCCTGTCAATAAAAATAGTTCAAGTGTCTTTTTCTGCCAATTCCCTAAATTCAAAGTGTAATTAAAAATCAGAATTTTAGGAATTATGAAGCACAACTGTACTGTATATGAATATAGAAGGGAGGTGATTTGATTATGATTGTTTATAATTATATATACTCTTTCTAAACTTATTTAAAAATATATTTGTTTATTCTGTGCAACTGAATCCTGCTCTTGTCTGAGAAGATGGATTTTCCTGTATGATTTTAACATAAGCCATCAGTTCTGTGGGAAGTACAATGTTAAGCACTAGCTTTGGTCTAGCTTAGGAGACAAATGTGGTTGAATGACTTTTCCTTTGTTATGACCTGTTTCATCACCTTAACAGAGCCTATTATGTTGGCACAATGGCACTGTCAGAAATGACATTAACATATTTTCCCCTGGAGATATGCTTGTCCTTAAAATAAGATGTTATAGTCCATGAACAAATATGGGTCTTTTGTGAGGAATACTGGTTTGGTAGTTAGCAATGATTTTGGAAAATTGGAAAGACTTGAGTTTTAATTCTGGTTCAGCACCTTATTGCTATCTAACTTATTTTCTCTGAACTTCAGTTTCCTTACTGGTGAGATAAACATCCAAAATATTTAGTTCAAAGCATGGTAAGCTAAACAAGAGCAAAAGAAACATTAAGGAGAAAACTAGCCCTGGCCAGTATTGCTCGGCAGTAAGAGCGTCGCCTGCAGACCAGAGTCCTGGGTTCGATTCCGGCCAAGGGCACATACCTCGGTTAAGGTTCATCCCCAGCGCGGGTTGTGGTTGTGTAGGAGGCAACCAGTCTAAGTGTCTCTCTCTTCCTCCTTCTGTCCCTCCAGCTCTATCTGAAGATTAATGTAAAAATATCCTCCGGTGAGGATTAAAAAAAAAAAAAGAAGAAAGCTATCAGTATTCATTGATAATTCATTCAAAGAAATTGCTTAAAGCAAATTCAGTACTGATCACTGAATGACTGATTAGAACCATTTGTTGATTTTAACTTCACACTTCTTTTTTACCCCTAAAAATGAGATAGAAATGGCCTTTCAAAACATGAAAAATAACAGATCTATGATTCAGACACTATTTTGTGTTGTAGGCAGTGAGTAAATTTTTATCTACCCTCATTTAAAAAAGGAGGTAACTAAGTGCCAACTACACGCAGGGGGTGAACATCAGGGCCTAGTGGGACGTTGCAGCAGAGCTACAGTTTGCTTGAGGGCTATGGACACAGCTATGCCTCAGTCTGCTCTGGAACTCAGTACCACAGACATCAGAAACCCTGTGGGAAAATAATAACAACACCTAACTGTCCCTATCCCCAAGTAGTTTACAGTAGGGAAAGCTATTCAGATAGTAGTGGTCAGATTAAACTGAATTATGGAGAGAGACAGGGCTCTGGGCCACTGTCCTGCCAAAGTCCCTTCATGACTTATCTTGAGTTGTCTGCCTCCAAAGATCTTCATGGTGTGAACTGATATGTTTCATGTGAATAATGCAAGGTAGGAAATGGTCACACATTGGGTTTTACTGAGTGACATTTTGGGAGGCTATGGATATATCAAAACTAGCACCTTCTAAAAGAAATATAAGCACATTTATGTAAAGACCCACCTAGTGAAAATATCTTCAGGAGTTTTATCAGTTACTGGATATGTCCATTCTATGCAATTCTAATATAAAACAATATACCTAAAGATTACTTTGTTTCTTAGTAGTTTTAAAATGTATGCTGTGAAGTTGCAGCCTACAGGTGTCTACCTGTACTCAGTGCTGCAGGTTATACGCTGCAGAAAGGCCAGGAGATGCCACAATCATTGACTCTGATGTAAATGCAACTCCAGAGATGGTAAAAAGAGCAGGCTTGTCTACATTATACACTTGTGTATTAGTTTCACCAAGTACATAAAAAATAAAGAACTGAAAATATATTCCTTCCAAAATGTGAGTTAAAGAAAACGTATATTAATAACTCATAGTAATTCTAAAATGTGGGAAAAATGTTTCAACTTACAACTGATAACAAACACATTCCCTTCGAAGCACTTGAGGTACACTATGTCGATAAAGTCTCGGGGGGATATTGAGCCCATGGCAAAACTGTGTGTAATGGTATGACATATGAATGTGTCCTGAAACAAATCAAAGCATAAAGATTGCAACAATTATTTAATATCTATTCTCTGTATTACTCCCCAAAGAATTTCACTGCAGAAGATTGGCCTCTATTTGGAAAAAGCACGGCTTTTTGAAGTCCTAAGAACTTATCACCAAACCAGCCTGCATTTTTTATGTGAAAGGAACATAAGATTTTATTATAAGTACAAGGCAACAAAAGCAAAAACAAACAAGTGGAACTACATCAAACTAAAAAGCTTCTGCACAGCAAAGGAAACCATCAACAAAATGAAAAGGCAACCTACAGAATGGTATAAAATATTTGCAATCATATATCTATTCATTATTAATGCATAAAATTCAGAAAGTAATCTTTATATCATCTACTCTTTAAAATTTTAAGTGAAGAAATTGAAGCCCACCAGATTAAGTCACATGAACAACTAGTGATAAGTACAGAACTAGAACCCAGATTTCCTGATTTCCAGTACAGTACTACATCTATTCCACATTGGTTAGGTAATATATTATGAAAAGTAAGGTCTAAAATTAAGTTACCAATAATATGTGCTGACAAGACATCTGGTGGAAATAGGGAGGGACTTGAATGGTCTTACTGCAAATTCCTCTCCTGACTGTTCACAGATAAGGACCCTTAGCCAAAACTTCCTTATCAACTGGATCAGGCAGTTTCTACTCATCCCTGAGTACAGTGATACCTCGGTTCTCGAACATAATTCATTCCAGGAGGACGGTCGAGAACCAAATTGTTTGAGAACCGAAGCAATGAAACCCAATAGGAAATAATGGAAACTGGATTAATTCGTTCCAAGCCCCAGAAAATGCCTATTTACTGGCCTAATTTGTATATAATATGTAGAAAAACATAAGTCTCAACAAGAAATAAAAGTGTACCGTATGTCTAAGGGTTAAATTCAGTGTAAAGCGTGACTCTCTCCACAAAGCGTGACTCTCTCTCTGCACTCACACTGATGACGCAAGCAAGGCGCTGGGCCGAATGAACGCCATTCGGCTCAACTCGGCTCATCTCGGAAGTTCGAGTTCCAAATATTTGTTCGGATTCCAAGACAAAAGTTTCTCGAATCTCCTGGTCGAATACCGATTTGGTCGAAATCCGAGGCGTTCGAGAACCGAGGTATCACTGTAGTGGGTTTCAGTTTCCTGCTAGCCTGGAGAATTATTCCAACAACCAATCTCATCCTCCTGCAGCAGTGAGGGGTCACCTCAATCTCTTGATACTGCAAAGCCTGCCTCCCTGGTTTTTCTCTGTCCCTGAGGGCAACTCCTACGTCACACTGCCTGGCATGATGTATCCTTGAGAGTTTAGTGAAGCTACTGCATGGTATTGCCTCAGCATCCATTTTGTTTGGCCAAGCAGCTGCAGGGTCCTTAAACTCACCCTAGCCCCTCATGCAAGTACATGCCCTAGATAAACAGCCCATACTCCCAAGCAAATGCAAGTTCCTGATATGACTTTCCCGGTAGCCCTGTGTTCAACAGTCTCCCCAGCCTCTCAGGGTCTTCTCCTGTGAGCCTCTTCGATAACCCCTCCCTGGAGCTTACCAAAACCCTGCTCCTTTTGGTTTGAGTTGATCAATCAGGCCTTAGCCTGGGAACCCCGATAACACACTCTACCCACAGACCCTAATAAAGACATGTGCCTCAGGTCCTTCCTCTGTTTCTGCTTATACCCTGCCTTGACCTCTCTGGGTGGCCCTTTGAGGCTTGCTGTGTACTTCCTCTAGGATCTGTGAGTAATAAACTTCTCTATTTCAATTTCTCTTGTGATCATTTGTTGAAACATGGCTCACCACTAGGCACGCTATGCTCCACTTAACAAATGTTAATTTAACAAAGTGATAATAGTCCTCCCCTAGGCTGTGACTAATTATTAATAAACTACTGTTGATCTCATTTGCCTAGAGGCAGGTATCACGTGTTTTTATCACCTCTATAACCCTAGAAGAGGAATCCCTCCCTCACCAAAGGGATGAATGAATCAATTAAAACACACCCCTGAAAATGAACACTATAAATATTCGTAAGGAGGTAAAATAATTCTTTTTATAGGACAGTGGTTCTCAACTTGTGGGTCACGACCCCTTTGGGGGTCAAATGACCCTTTCACAGGGGTCGCCTAAGACCATCGGAAAACACATATTCCCAATGGTCTTAGGAACCGAGACACCGCTCCTCTATCCGTCTCCAGGGGGTCCGTCCACATGCAGATACGCCCACATATAACAGGAGGAACGGTATTAAAGGGTTGCGGCATCAGAAAGGTTGAGAACCACTGTATAGGGTAAAGCTATTCACAGATACTGTGGTATACTGGAAGGGACCTGGAGTTTGGAATCAGGAGATCAGGCATAAATCCTGGTTCTACCATCTATTGGCTGTACTGACCTTGAGCAAGTCACATAATTTCTCTGACTCTGTTTTCAAGATTGTTGGTGCCAAGTCTAGTATTCTTTCCATTATTACAGCTGAGCTGCGGCAACAGCAGAAACACCTGAAGTGCTAATGGAACTATATAATTAGTCAAATACAATCAGAAATGAAACAATCCAATGTTTGGATTTGGATGGACCATGTTTCTCAAACCGAATGTCCAAATCCCAAGAAGGTCATGGATATGTGCTTTTTATTACCTGACTTACCTTCCTAGGCTTCTCTATAACCTTTCCCCACTCCCAACTTTAAAATCCATTTAATAAAAGCAGGTAAAGTTAACCTATAGAGTTCTAAATAAATGGTAAGATGGTGATAGATTTATTTGTGGGACATTTGTTTGTTTTGATAAGTGGAATGTTGTTTGGAGACACAAAGAGCCAAAGACCCAGTGATGTGGAATTTTAGAAATGCAATTGTGAAAATCATAAAAGTTTACTCCAATATTCACATTTACCACCTCTTTCTAATAAAGTTATTATTAGCCAAAAATGTACAACCCAAATTTTTTTTTTATCCTCACCCGAGGACATTTTTGCGTTTATCTTCAGAGAGAGCAGGAGGGAAAGAGGGAGAAAGAAAGAGAGAGAGAAACATTGACGTGAGAGAGACACATCGAGTGGTTGCCACTCACACGACCCCAACTGGGGCCAGGGACAAACTGCAACCGAGGTATGTGCCCTTAGTGGGAACCGAACCTGGGTCTCTCGGGTCCGCGGGCCAATGCTCCAACCGCTGAACCAAACAGGCCAGGGCAACTCAATTTTTTTTTTTAATCCTCACCCGAGGATATTTTTCCATTGGTTTTCAGATAGAGTGGGAGGGAAGGAGGAAGAGGGAGAGGGAAGGAGGGGGGGGGAAGAGAGAGGAACATTGATGTGAGACAGACACATCGATTAGTTAGTTGCCTCCAGCATGACCCCAAACAGGGCTGGGGATCAAATCGCAACCCAGGAAAGTGCCTTTGATTGGAATCGAACCTGTGACTCTTTGGCCCTCAGGCTAATGCTCTAACTGCTGAGCCAAACCGGCCAGGGCACAAGTCAATTTTTAAAAACATCTTACTGAGCTATAATTTATATACCATAATGTATAGCAGTCTTAAGAGACTTATAGTGTGCTGCTCCAAAATCAGAATCCCTTACCCCACCACTGCCTTGTTTTTACCTTTTTATGTCTCATTACTACTCTCATTTAATTCACTTTCTCCTCCTGAATTTTCTTCTTTTTTTAAAATTTATTTTTATTGTTGAGAGTATTATAGACGTCCTCCATCCCCCACCCTTTGCCCCCTCCACCCAGCTCCCACCCTACCCAGGCCTTCACTGCACTATTGTCTGTGTCCATGGGCTATGCATATATATCTACCCGCACCTCAGACTTATCATTTATTCTCCTCTCTTCTAAGCCCTGCTTGCCTCTATGACTCACTTTCTACACCAATTACCTATATTTTTCCCCTTTGTTTTTACTCTCCCACTTCATCTCTATTTATTTACCTGAGATAATGTATTTAAACTGTTTCTAAAACCATAACCATGTATATATTATTTCACACTTTATCCTTTTCTTAAAAAAGTTACATGCTGTTTAAATCCCTATACAGTATGTGCCTGCATTGTTTCTGTTATCTAATGTATTATGTTTAATATAATTCTACTGACTTCCCTTTAAGAAGGCATGCTTAATCTTTTTTTTTTCACCTAATGTCGGAAAATCTATGAGTTTGTCCCCTCATAATCAAAGGCACACATCTTTTGTGGTATGCATTTAAAACAGAATTAAGCCCTGGCTGGTTTGGTTCAGCGGTTGGAGCATCAGCCTGCGGTCCAGAGAGACCCAGGTTCAGTTCCCGCTAAGGGCACGTACCTTGGTTGCAGTTTGTCCCCAGCCCTGGTTGGGTCGTGCGGGTGGCAACCACTCGATGTGCCCCTTTCATGTCACTGTTTCTCTCTCTCTCTCTCCCTCCCACTCTATCTGAACAAAAAATGGAAAAAGTGTCCTCAGGTGAGGATAAAAAAAAGAAAACAGAATTAAGCTACCTGGAATTGATAAAGAAGGAAGTTTTAAGGCTTTTATAAAGATTTCAACTCAATCAATATGAATCTATAAAATATGAAGTGGCTACATAATATAGGTTTAATAAACTTAAATCACTAAGATATAAAACTAAAAATATATTAATACAGGAAAACTCTAATATTAAGCAACACATTACCGAATCAATCTTGTGTATCATATTGTACACTTTCAATGATTTATCCCATGTAGTTCTATTTTCAGGCTTGTAGAGGAAATCAGATAGTTTTGATGTTGATTCTGGAATTATTCCTTCAACACGATATCTATAATTAACAAAATAAAGAAAACTCAAATTTAACAAGTTTAGTCTAAGTTGAAAATATAATGTTACAGTATAAAGTAGACTAACTTAGCAATCAACAGTAAAGAAAAAGGTCATATCAACAATTCAAAGCACTAATATTCAATTAGAAGTAGCAAGGTTTAAATATATATTATAATAATTAACATAAATTATTTCAAAATTCATTTTTCTACAAACTTTGTGTATAATGTTTTTATAGTTGTGTTTTTAAAGGGGCTACATTCACTTAGGATTTTTCTAAAATCTTTCTTATAAATATTTATCTGCTGTATTTATAAGTCAACAGTAATTGATAAGAAGTTTGTGTGGCTATGCAATATCTTGTGGCCCCAATTCTTAATTTAAAGATGTAATGTGGTATAAATCAGAGATCAGAAAACTTTCAGTAGAGATCCAGAGAGTAAATCATTTAGGCCTGTGGGCCACACGGTCTATGCTGCAACTATTCAACTCTGTTGGTATAGCAGTAAAGCAGCCACAAATGATGTGCAATGAATGGACATGTCTGTCGCAATTCCACTTTATTTATAGCACCGACTTTTGAATTTCATTTATTTTCACATGTCAGGATTTGGGCAAGTAACTGATATTTTTGTTTAGCCATCAATAAAATTGGGTTTGCTTATCTATTACTGAAATTAAGAAAAGTGGACTAAAATCCACTGGTTAGCAGCAGATTGTTAAATGAACAATATTGGCTGTATTCTCTCTTTCTGTTAACATTATTTCCAAACCAAGGGAATAGGTCTATGTAAAATCAAATCTTTAAACCAATAAAAAGTTAAAATTTCTGGAGGAAGGGAGACAAAAACCAAGTGCTATCATTACAGAAAAGAGGTGTCATATTTACGAAGGGTTCTTCGGCTGAACCTTTGGTTTTATGATTTGGTAAACAAATAAGAATTTATTTTCTCTTTGAGATATCTTCAAAGTTTCTGAGTATGTAAGGTTTCCTTCCTTCAGATGTGGCTTGGCTAATCTGCAGGTATTTCCCCCAAACCACAAATAGATCAGTTAGCAAAGGGCTGAAGCCTTACTGCATAAAAGACTTAAGTATAACCTCTGACCCATCACCAACTGAACAATAAGTTATTGGTCCCCCAACTATAAATTATTCTCATTGCTGGTGGTCTGGGAGAATGTGTGTATGCTCAAGGCTGTGCCCTCTGAGTAATGGCTGGTGATAACAAGTTCTGAGCTACTAGTCTCTGGCTAACTGCAGGGCAAAACCATAAAACTCCCTGAACTGTGAAAAGTCTCCAGAGAGGTAGGCAGGGGCCAGATAGGCAGGGATATGATAAAGGACGTGTATTTTATTTTAGATGCAATGGGAAGCCTTTAGAAAATTTTAGGCAGGGAAGTGACTCCATCTGAATTATATTTCAAAAATCGACTTTGGCCATTGTGTGAAGAATGGGATGTGGCTAAGAGTATATATGGACTCCATTGGGAGGTACTGACATAATCCAGATGAGAGATGAGGGTGGCTTGCACGAGGATGGTAGCAGGGAGATAATGAAAAACAAATCACTTCTCTCTGTGCACATCTAGTCAATTAGAGCTTCTACTAGAATCCAAATCTCTGATAAGTGATCCATTATCTAGGCCATTTTTACAAGCAAGTAAAACATTTGGACAAGTTTGAATTGAAGTTAAACAAGTTTCTTCACTTTTGGACTTCTCTGAACTCCAGAGTGAATTTCCAAGAATAGAATACAGTCTAGAGTGTTTTGGAAAACAATGTATTCAACAATCCATCCCATTTCCCCTAGCACAGGGCATTTTGAAGGATGACATTTCTCACATACTAGTCTGGCAAAGTGCATTAAACCATCCTATACACCCCAAAGTGTACAATGTTTACACTCAGTTGCACATTCTATATTCATATGCATATGTTTCCTGCTTTGATTATTTACAACTCTTTAAATAAAACTGAAGCTTTGAAGTGCTAGAAAAATTTTAAGCTTCCCTAGTTTTTTCTGTTCATTTGACCACAGTCTCTCTTCTCACTCCAGGCTGGGAGAGGTAAACTTCTGACGGAGGCAGACCAACCTAACATGTTCAGATTGATTTCCTTTGTAAGAACCTAAATATCTGCCACAGCTAATTTAGAATAATATAGATATTAAAAAAAAAACCCTGTCCCACTCATACTCTCCTTCTGTACATACACATGGCCAATTTAGAATCAGTGGGCTGTGCTTGAGAAAATAAGCATGCAAAATTGAGTTTCATGTATACTACGTTTATCTTAGTTTTGAAGCTGTGTTTGATATTCACTGGAATATCGCTCAACCATGAAAAAGAAAAGAGAGTTTGCCCAAATCAGTGTGTGACAGGCAGCCTCTTCCATGGCTCCCCGTGATCTCCACTTTGCTATCCACACACTTGTGTAATCCCAGGGCTGGATCTTGTGTGATTCACTTCTGATACACTGAATACTGCAAAAGTGATGGGAAGTTACATCCAACACTAGGTTGCAAAAAGACTTTGGCTTCTGTCTTCTTTGCTTTCTTTCTGTTGCACTTCCTAAAGCCCTCACTCGAAGGTAAGCAACCTGCCCTGCTGTGAATAGCCCTATGGCGCCCCATGTGTCAAGGAACTGGGGAAGGCGGCCAGCCTGGAGCCAGGGAGGAACGGAGGCCCTCCGTCCTGCAAGCCCACGGGGAACTGAATCCTGCCCAGGACCATGTTAGTGAGTTTCGAAGCAGAACTGCCTTCAGATGAGACCCAAGTTCCAGCAGACACCTTGAAGGCAGCCTTGTGAGAACAGTTGAAGCAGAGGCACCAAGCTAAGCTACACTTTGATTTCAGACCCACAGAAACCATCAGATAATACATGTCTGTTAAGTCAGTCACTAAGATATGGGGTAAGTCACTAAGATAATGTGGTAAGATATTATGTGTCAATAAATAACTAGTATACAGTGCATATACATTTCACTTAAAATGTGTGTGCAGAAAGTTCCAGTTTTTTGGGTCTGTTTTGTATGCAGGAGTAAAATATCTCTGATAAAAAAATTCAATAAGGCTTTAAAACAGCTTAACTGAGGCTATTCTTTGGCTTTCAGCATCTCACACACCACCCTGCACATAAATACCCAGGAAGTATTTGAAGAATGAATAAATAACTTTCAAGGTTTCTTTGATACATAGGTTACTGTCTATACTGGTATGTAAGGCACCAAAAAACTATAATATCCAAAAATTTATTCCCGTGTGCCCAGGCTTGACCTTACCCACTCCCCACCTCAGTCTATTTTTTGAAAGTTCCACTATTAGAATAATTAATTATTTAGATAACAAAGGTAGGGATGATCTTCCTGCAAATTATTAAAATGAACAGGAAAAAACATACCAGCTTTGTCCTAGAGCAAAAATTTCTACTGAAACACAGATAGGTAAATTTTAGTCAGGTGAAAAAGAGCAAGAAGCACAAAATGAAGTACAGTAGTTGAAAGAAGTGGTCTCTTACAAAAAAAAATTTGAATACAATTTAGTTTTTCAATAACATGATTTCATGGCATTAATGTGCTATCATGAGCAGTAAATAAATGAACAACTCTTAAAAATAAGGTTAAAAATGTCAGCATAATTTCCCTAGTGTACTGGTATTTGAAATAACAGGACCCCCCCCCCCCACCAATATCCTTAAAACAGCTTACAGAAAATATTACATATATCAGACAAAGAAATAAATTGGGGAAACAAACTATTTTTAGTGGTTCATTTAATGGACAAGTGAAGTGTTTAAAAGATCACAAAATACTACTAATAGCCAGAAAATACCAAACTGCTTTTATAGTAATTATTTCTTGAAGTGGAAATTTCCTATTTTAGTGACTATTCACTAGGAGGATTTTTGTTTGTCTTCAGGTTTGAAAATGATTAGATGGTACATAATTGCTCTATTTTAGTAATATCACATTTCAACCTAATCACTTTATTATTAATTTCTATTCCTCATCATTATCAAGTAATATGTTATCACTGTTGCATATAAAAAACCATTAAATTCTAGATACATCAATGTCACTGAATTAAAAACAATGATTTAAATAGGAAATTGTACTTACAGATTTCCATGGAATATTTTAGAAGCCTTGCTAGAAACAGTTACTTTTTTCTCAAAGGGGAAAAAAAAAATCCACAAATAAATTAGCTGTCAAGTACAGAAAAAATAAAAAACAAACAAAAATAAAACAAAGCAAAAGTAAAAATATTTGGTTTGTAAAAAAATATTTAATAAATGTCTTTACTATCGTTTCTCATTTAAAAACAAACTCTTGAAACATTTAATTTGTTTTCTTACTGAAGATTTAACCACCTTCCAGCCTGATGTATCTTGACTGTAACCTAAAATATCTTGAGCAGTTTGTTGGGCAAGTACCTTATAGTCCATCTACCTGCAAAGTTTTAAAAACAAATGCTTGGTAAGAATGTGATCAAGCAAAGTTTTAAAATGCTGCATTACATTTTAATACTATTTCTACAGCGCCCGTCACATAGCAATGAACAATAATTACATGTATATATCCCTTCCATCTTATTCACGATGAGAAAATGTGGATGTGGTATATAGCACAAATACTAGACTTTGGAGTCAGAGAGACCTGTATCAAATCCTGTCTCTGCAACTGACTAATTGCGAACCACATTATTTAATATTTCTGTTTCCCCATTTTCTCAAGTTTTAAAACCAGGATAGTACCTAACCCTGCAGAATTAATGTGAGGATTAAATGAGATAATGTACTTAAATGTCCTACTCCGCTGCGTGGCACATAATAGTCATTCAATAAATCATTATTTCTAACAGCTTAATCATGCTTTCTTTCTCTTGTAAAGCACCATAATATGTTGATCAGGTGTTCTTGGGAATTCATCTTTTTAAAGTGAGTGGTAGGGCACTAAATGATTTAACTCCTGTCTTCAACTCTCCCACTTAGATGAAATCACATTGATCTGGCTGTTTCTCAACTACAACCAAGCATTTTCCTACCTCAGGGTCTTTGCACTCGCTATTCTCTCTGCTTGTAACATTCTTCCCCAACATGAACAACTGATTCCTCTTCATTAGTGTCTTTGTTGAAATGTCCTATCTTCAGACAGAATAATCAAGTTTGAATCAATTCAGCAGAGGTTAGGTACTGTGACAGGTGTAACAAATACAGTTGAGTAAGATATTGTTTCTGCTGTGAAGGAATTCGGGAAGCTGAAGTCTCATTGGTCCTTTGGCCCATCATCTAGTTTTCAGTTAGGAGAAGCTGGTTGGTATGGTAAAGAGCATGACAACACAGAGCTGGATTCAAATCCTGCCTTTGCCACTCACACCAGCTATATTATTTTGGATAAATTGCTTAACTTTTGAACTTCAATTTTCAAATCTAGAGTTAGGAATAATACCTATCTAATGGGATAATTATAAGGATTGAGTTTTTATAAGTGATTGAAACAGTGTGGGGCCCCTTTTTGGTGATCAAAAAGTTTCTGTTCTTTTATTGGACACATCTAAAGCTACCTTTAAAAAACTGCAAAGAGCTGCCTCAATAAACCTCCTTAGAGTTTAATTATCAGACCATGTCTTCCTTAGCTCTCACCTAAAGCTCCTTAGATTAGAACACAAATCTATTTTCTCTTGTTTAGTTCTTCAGCGAGGCTTGACATCTCTATTTGAAAAGCTTTCATAAACCATTTTAAGTCCTCTTTCTTAGTAGATTCTTGGTTTCTTTACCTTTTCTAATAAATCTAGTCAAGAATTTTAATAACTATTGGGACTCTTCTCCAAATCTTCCTGGAGATCTCCATATCTCTTAAATTGTGAAGGAACAAAGTGGAAGTAGAATTGTTTTGATTCATGAATTACATAAATTTATTTGGTAAGTTTCTTTATATTTTCTCAGTGTCCTTTACTTATACTTTATGTTCTTATCAGGAAACATCTGCACATTATATATGCTCCAAGATGGAAGGAAAAAGTAGTAAGAGAAATTAAATTATTTTAAAGAAGGACAAGTTAAAAAGACATTTAGGTGGAATGTGGATTTAAAAAGTCTAACCTTTTAAGCTAATGCCATTAGCAATCCTTGGCTGGTCCCTGACCTGGGCTTGTCCCAGCGTATATAACACAGTTCTTTATTTCCAGTCAGCAACATATTTGATATTGTCTAATCCAGGAATTGCACAGGTTATTGGAACATACTGATAGAGTGTAAACTCCTGCAGGTACTTTGTTTTTAAAATTAAAAAAAAAATTTTTTATTGATATTTTAGAGAGAGGGAGAGATAGAAACTTCAGTGTGAGAGAAAAACATCCATGGGCTGCCCCCTGTAAGCTCCTCACTGAGGATGGAGCCCCCAACCTGGGTGTGTGCCCTGACCAGGATCCAGCTGGGACCTCTCAGTCCATGGGAGGCTGCTCAATCCAGAGCCACACTAGCTGGGCAAGGTACTTTGTTTTATTCATTGTCAAATCACTGCCACAATAAACGTGTTTAACTGAACCACTCAGCTGAACTGTATAGTTTCTGGATTTTTTTCATTTGCTAAGAAAAAAGGGAAGATTAAGTTCAGTGGGCTAGAGTGAAAACAGGAAGGAGCAAACAGCAAGACTACAGTTGTATTACCTTGTAGTGTAACATTGGCTGAGCTGGAATATATTTAGGTGTTGTAATCAAGGATATCTTCACCCATAGGGTCAGTGGAAAATAAACCAGTATTGAGATGGCATCTATTTTTGATACACCACTTGGATGAAACTGGATTCTCTGCACCTCATTTTCTGGGCCAGCCTTGTAGACAGGTCACAGGTGTTCTTAAGTGGGTCTTTACATCTGTTTGTATAATAATCTCCCTCTTTCTGGGCTGCCTGACTGGGTCCCCAATCCGTGCTGGGTCACTGCCATTCTTCCTGGGAATCAAGGTCCCCAAGGAGTTTGTTGAATCCCATTCCTGGCCAAACTCCTCCTCCAATCCCGCATCCGCTTTGAGTGTGAGGGGCTGGCTGGAAGCCCGGGAAGGCCAGGCTCAGGGATAAAATGGGGAAGGCACTGAGTGGGGAGGGAAGGAAGTGGGCTGGGGCGCTGCCCCCGGCCCAGGTGTCTTATCCTGGTAAGGGGTGCTTTGAAAGCGGACAGACCGAGCTCACTTGGAAGGACTGGGGAGGTGGAGCTGGCTCTCGGAGCCCGAAACGTTAGCCGCAAGCGCCCAAGTCTCCCCTACCGAGTCCCCTCGCTCAGTCCCGGGAGCCCGCCGAAGAGGTTCAGCCGGTAGTCCGCGCAGACTGGCCCGAACAGAGGTGACGGAAGTGGGGGCATGCGCGGCAGCGACGTGGACGTACGTAGTCCAGAACTCCCACCCCAGAGATGAAGGAAAAACTACACTTCCCAGCAGGCATTGCGACCTAACGCCCCGCGGCGCCACTTTTCCCTTCCAGCCCCCAGGCCCTCACCCGCCTCGCCCCCGGCGCCCGAGCACCACGCATGCGCACCGCAAGCCGGGGGCCATGTTGGGTCAGTTTGAAAGCGAGCGCGGGTGTCGCGTCTCTCTGTGACGGTGGAGGATGCTGCGAGCGAGCGGAGCCTGAGGCGCGGCGGTGTCTGTGTCCGGGATGCTTTGTGGCGTCTCCCGCCGGGTTACAGGCCTGAGCTTTCGGCGGGGAGTTGTGGAATTGTGTGTTTTTATTTCTTTTTGGACCATCTTTGGCGAGTTCGGCCGGAAAAAGGGGTGTGTTTTCGGGGGGCGTCCGATCCTTTGACAGCTCGAGGGAAAGGCCGAAGGAAGGAGGGAAGGGAGGGGAAGACGTCTCCCGCGGGAGAGTGTCTGCGGAAAGAGAACTTCAGGGGAGGGTCGCGGAACTGGACGGAGGGGACCTGACGTGGGCCTTAGGGGAATGGAGGCAGTGGTGGGGATGGGGGCTTGGGCTGTCGAGGTCGTCACCCCAAGGATCTCCATCAGCCCCCGCCCGGAGGCGCTAACTGTCGCAGCCAGATGGTTTCCGAGCAGCCAGCGGTGACTGCTGGGGTCCCGCAGGGCGGGCGGTTCCAGATGCGGCGGCAGGTTTGAGCCCAGCGCCCCGGGAGGGGCTGGATGGGGGCTCAGGTGCAGGCGCGCCAGCAGCCTTGGCCTTCCCGGTGCGGTGAGTCTTTGCTGTAGACTATGAACAGACGTTCGATTAATCACAGGAATCACAGAGCTGTTATTTCTAAGAGTTGTGAATTTATTGTGAGCTATTCCCATTGGTGGTTATTTAACACGGAACATTGTGTTTTTGAATCAAAGGTAGTTGAACTTTGTTGCCATTCGTTTAACACTCTGGAATGATGGATTACCTTACGCAGATACGAACGGGTGTTTATGGAAGACATGGTAAGATTTTTGGGGTTTGCTTCGAAATAATCCTGTAGGAGAGGCGGGTAGATAAAAAGTTTGGGTATACTGGTAATTGTTTGAAGCAGGGTGATGGCTGCAAAGGGGTTTATTAAACATTTTTCCGACTTTTGTCTAGTACTTTGGGAAACTTTCCACAATGATAGTTCAAGTATGGATATTTTTAAAAAACCACCTCTGGATTAAAATACATGTTATTATCCACTCACTGAGAACCATAATCCATCGACTGTGCCTTTTAGGGTTTTGTTTTTGTTTTTGAGGTTTTGTAAAACTAAAACCAATAACCTGTACTGTGTTCGAATAAGGGAGAAAACATTTGGTCAAGCTTAATCTACAAGCATTGTTCACTTGAGAAAATGTAAACATCATTAGTGAGTAAAGAAAGGGCAAAGCTGACAGTGTAGCCATTCATTTTATATATGTGTGGGTGTGTATATAATTGAATTTATTGGGAGTGACATTGGTTAATAACATGTCAGGTGTACAATTCTATAATACATTATCTATTTATTGCATTGTGTGCTCCCCACCTAAAGTCTAGTCCCCTTCAGTCACCATATATTTGACCCCCTTTACCCTTTACTACCCTCCCAATCTCTTCCCCTCTGGTAACCACTATACTGTTGTCTGTGTCTATGAGTTTGTTTGTTTGTTGCTTTCTGATTTATAGTTTTATATGGTTCTTGTCCTTTTCTGTCTGACTTATTTCACTTAGTATGATATTCTCAAGATCCATCCATGTTTTTGTAAATGATAGTATTTCATCCTTATGGTTGAGTAGTAGTCCATATGTACTTCTTCTTTATCTAGTCATTCACTGAAGGACACTTTGGTTGTTTCCATGTCGTGGCCACCATGAATAAGAGTGTAGCCATTCTGTAGTATTATACCAGTATCACAGCATTCAGGAAAATCAAAGAGGCTAAACATCATCTTATGTTCTGTTGCTGCGTCCACTGACTGCTGTCAGCTCTCTTGCAAAGGCAGCTGCATAGGCTAAGAGACAGGATGATGTTTTACTCTGTCTTTTCTTTCCTAAATGGAAAACTTTCAATAGTTTAAAGTCAAATTTGACAGTTAAGATTACATTGAAAGTTGTTGTAACTTAAACATTCCCAGAATACAGCCAAAAGTTAAATATATTAATTTTGTAATATCATAGCATGTATTAAATTCTAGACATTAATCTTTTATTTGTAGTACAGAAAATCTATTGATTAATTTAAAAAGAATATCATGTCATGTACTATTCATCTTGTGATTTATTAGGTTTTCAAATATAGATCCTATTATTCCTATACTAAGGTAGACAGGAATTCTGCCAATTTTAATGATGCAAAAATAGCAAGATGAATACATTAAGTCAATTTTCGAATTATTTAAGTCTCCTTTAAAAGAGAAGTGGGCTGAATCTGTTTCATATAAGTGTTGAATATAGTGAGGGTAGTGCCAAAAATGAGATGGTCAGGAGATGATTATTAACAATGTTGTTTTAGGAAAAGAGTATATTGCACTTTCATTTTATGGTAAGACTTGTAGTTTCTTTCTTTTTTCTTTTTCATTTTTTATCCTCACCCGAGGGCATTTTTTCCATTTTTTTGTTCAGATAGAGTGGGAGGGAGAGAGAGGAAGAGAGAGAGAGAGAGAGAGAGACATCGACGTGAAAGGGACACATCAAGTGGCTGCCACCTGCACGACCAACCAGCAACCAGGGCCGGGGACAAACTGCAACCGAGGTACGTGCTCTTAGCGGGAACTGAACCCGGGTCTCTCTGGACCACAGGCCGACGCTCTAACTGCTGAGTCAAACTGGCCAGGGCAAGAATGTAGTTTATTTCTTTATATTTTGTTCTCTCAAGTCTTTTTGGGGTAAAGAAGTTGGCTAAAGTTACATATTGGCATATTGGCATTTACAACATTCTTCTCCACTGTTCCTCCTCTTCCTCCTTTTTAAAAAATCCTCACCCAAGGATATTTTTCCATTTATCTTTAGATAGAGTGGGAGGGAAGAAGAGAGGGAAGGGAGGGGAGAGAGAGAAAGAGAGATAAAGAAAGAAACATTGATGAGAGGGAGACAGATTGGTTGTCTCCCTAATGACCCTAACAGGGCCGGGGACCAAACCACAACTGAGACACTCGCCCTTGACAGGAATTGAACCCAAGACTCTTTGGTCTGCAGGCCGACACTCCAACCGCTGAGCCAGACCAGCCAGGGCTCTACTGTTCCTTCTTGTTTTTAATACCTCATTTGATTCCTTTAAAAATATATTGAGCACCTTACTATTTGCAGTGCATGGTGCAGGCTTATGAATTAAAAATATTATGTGTAGGGGAATGTTAAGTATTGTGATGTCATAGAATATATCACCATAAGAAAAGACTGTATATCAGTAGTTTTTAGGACTTTTAAAAAAAGTGAGTACTCATTCCTTGGTACTTTCTATGCATGTTTTCAGATAATTTTTGTATACATAATCCCAGGCACGTACGTAGTGGTTCTCAATAAATGTTTTCTAAATAAATGATAAAGGAATTCACAATAATTAAAATAATAAAAAATCTATAATGTGTATTGCCTAAAAAGGATTCATAGATAGTGGATTTTATTCTTTAAAGAAAATTATAAAAAGTTTACATATTTAGTAATTTCTCTGCATATGCCTATTCCTTTTACTTGTAACCTTAACCTTTTGCTTTTGTATTACAGTTGTTTCTAAGAGAAATGAACAGAAATAACCCATTTTGAGGAAGGCATGGCAAAATCAAATATAAAACACAGATCTTGTTCTCGGGAATCTTCAGTATCTTCTCTGTTAGCAAGCTGCAGCCTGAGTGGTAGTAATTCTTCTAACCCTGATGGCTCTGTTCATTATAAGGATAAACTGTACAGTTCTGCATCTCAGGCTCTGCAGGCCTATATTGATGATTTTGATCGAAGCCGGATGTATCCTGGTGTAAGCACTGGAAAGATTAACATTGATAAATGTCCTGCTAATATGCCAGAATTCTCCAACTATATTTATAAACCAAACAGTGGTATGCTTTTATTCTTTGTTTTCTTTTTGTCACTGATTTAAAGCATTTGAGAAATGTGTTGCATTTCTTTGAAAACTAGATGCTTCTTTTTTTGTTCTTTTGGAGTAAAATTTACCTTTATAATGTTGAGATCTGGATATATTTCTTAAAAGATTTGGTAATTATCTGGTTCTCAGGAATTTTCAGCTAAGATCCCCTTGTGACCTTAGAGTGGAAGCTGATGAATTATATAGCAGGTGGCTGATCCTAAATCCTTAAGCCATTTCAGTATAGCAAATGGAAAGAGCATTGACTTGGTGGTTCTAGCTTTCATTTACTAGCTTAATGACTTTAAACGTATCTCAGCCTTTTTAACTTTATACTTGATCATTTCCAATCGATGGCATAGGATTATATTAGTCTTCTTGATCTGTAGTCTATGGGACAATAATATTCACAATATGTTAAGAGTTTTTCCTTGGTAAAGCTTTTATGAAGATAAGTTAGGAACATGAATCTGTAGATAACTCAGTTACTGAGCACTTACGGAGCAGCCCTACTTGGAAAAAGTTTGCATTTAACTCTTAGAAGGATGTGGGCACTATTCCAGAAGAGGAGTATTGAAACAAATGTTTGCTCTGTGTTAATGCTATTGCAGAGTTAGTAGGCAAGAAAGCAGATTATTTTTCCACCTAATTAAATTGCATTTTTTCTTTCCTGTACTACAGCCAGTATTGAGTAACCAATATTCATGTGACTGCATTAGTGTGTTGAGTATATCTAGATGAAAAACTTGAAGAAACAATAAATTAAAGAACATGGGAAGATTCGGGAGGTTGGAGAGAAAAGGGTAGAAATTAGTTAAAGCAAATTGAGATGTGAGGGGAAAAGCACATCCTATTTCATCAGCCTATACCTTTTATACTTTTAATCAAAGTGTTAGTGAAGATAAAGGGAAAATGGCAAAAAATGGTTCTTAATTTCTTAATTCTCATTTACTGTTGAATATTTTGAAGTATTTTATAGTGATATAGGAAGATAAACAGAACTGCGCTTTGTTTTTCAGCTTTTGAAAATTTTGATCACAAAAGAAGCTTATCTTCTAGAAGACAGACTATTAATGACATAGATTCCATTAGCCTAACAACTGATGATCTATTAAAACTTCCAGCAGATGGGTCATTTTCTTTTACTTGTGGTGGACCAGGTCACCGAATTAGCAAGAAAACCAAGAAATGCACTGGAAAACTGAGTTCATCGGACACTGAAAAGAATAAATATTTTCAAGAACCCTCTACTGCCATGAACAAGGATAACTTAGTTACTCCTTTTGTATACACAAATATAAATGGAAAGCAGTGTCGGAGGCTAAAAAACCTAAAACTTGTGAATAAGACTAATAAATGTATTTCTGAACCATCTTTTTCCAAGAAATCATCTTTCAAGGACAGTTCAGAACACAGCCTTGAAAAAAATTACCCAAGGTGGCTCACTGGCCAGAAATCTGACCTTAATGTTTCTGGAATAACTAGTATACCTGATTTCAAATACCCAGTCTGGCTCCATAATCAAGACTTGCTACCTGACACAAATAGTCAAAAGATTTATAAAATATTTAAAGAAGATCAGTGTTCCCCAAGACATAGTTATCAGGCACAAAGAACTTCTCGACTTATGAATAAATTAGATTGTTTTGAATATACTTTTGAACCCTCAAACATTTCAGATTTCTCGAGTGTTGATAAAGGATTAGCTAATGAATATAAATGTGATTCAGAACATAGTCAATATCAATGTGAGAATCCACTTCTCCCAGGACAATCCAAAAAGCCATTCAGTGGTAATTGTTTTATGTTTATTTTTAAGAACCAAAGAAAATGTTGTGAATTTGCTCTAATGCCTAGGAGCTTTTATATTACATTCTTGATATAATGATCAAGTGATACATCTCTTTTGAACTCTTAAGGTTTTCATTTATGTAGCATTTTGTAACAAAAAAAATGTCTTTTCTGCCTTTTATTTGTTTGAAATGTCACATTTTGACATGATTTGTTGTTATAAATATGTATATTATTTCAACTATCTGGATTCTTGTTGCTTTGTGAGATTTTGCATTTATTTATTTTTCTTAAAGAATTAATGTAGTCTTTTATAATAGGTGACAAAATTGAATTGCTTATCCTGAAGGCCAAGAGAAATCTAGAGGATTGTACTAAAGAATTACCAAAGTCTATGAAACAGGATGACAGTCCTTGTTCATTAGATAAACTTGAAGCAGAAAGATCATGGGAAAATATTCCTGTTACTTTGTAAGTACATTATAATGGAAAAGTCATACAAGGTCATTAGTTTTCCAAAGGAAAAATATATGGACATCTAATTTATTTTTTTAAATAACTTGGTAATTAGCAGTAATAATAACATAATTTTGTGGAACATAGTGTTCAGTGTTGCTTTGCTTTATATTGCATTGTTCATTTGTTACCACAAGATGGTGTAATGCTTCATAACAAGTACATTATGTAACCTTTGTTTTTGTTACATGTTCCTTTTGTTGCACTATAAAATACTGATATATATTTACTATGAGGAATTAGAACCCAAAGCAACTATTTTGTACAAGGAAGAAAGCTATGAATTTCTTGTTACTTTCTTTTTACTTTTACCTTTTTTTCTCCATGTTCTCTCCATATTTTAGTTATCCATTTCTTTTCATTTACATTTTACTTTTCCTTTCAGTTGTTATTTTCCTTAAATGATATTGCATTTTTTATATTGTCTTTTGTGAAAATTTTTATAGTTTTTAAGATTGTTTTCATTTGTGTATTTAACCTTTCAATGACATTGTTTCTCAGAATAATTTAAAAAGTGTTCACTTAGATAACTATGAATGTGAGCTTGGAGTAAAGATTAGATAGGAAAGCTTTTTCTTAGTGATAGTATGTCTAGACTTTTCAGAATTACATTCTTGGTAACCCTGTATCCTGCCTTAGGTTCTAATATTTGTTATATTCACTTGTCTAAGCTTTTATTATGTCATAGATGGAGTTTATTAATTTCTAGATTCTTTTTTTGATTACTTCTCAGTTGAATATCTTTTCTTTTCTTTTTTCTTATTTAATGTGGACACTAACTATGATACTGGTTTGGAGTCCCTGCTCTGTCATTTCCCCACTGAGATCTTGTACAGGTTATGTCTACTTTGTACAACTCTACTTTGCACAAGGTCTTATACAATTTCCTCTACTTTGGGGTTTTTGTGAGGATTCAATTGATTAGAAAATAAATATAAGGTACTTAAACCTATAGTTGAAGGCTTATTTGTTTAGTTGAAGACTAACATCTTTTATTTAAAAAAAATTTTTTTTTCTTGAAGCTTTCATGGAGAAGCAAGGAGATAGGGAGGGTTAGATTTTGGTATCAGTTGAGGGAGAAAATGAATTGCCAAGCAACATGAATCATATCTACGTGGTTATTTCTTGGTGGCCATTTGTATTTAAATAATAACCATTTAATTATATACTATCTAGTTTTTATAAACTGAAAATTTAATTGCTATGTTGTATCTTAAATCCTACGTAGCAAATCTCCAGTTCCTGTGAACTCTGATGATAGTCCTCAAGAAGCTTCAGGGGCAAAGTGTGCTAAAGGGTTCCTTGAAGACTTTTTAAGTAATGACAATCAGGTGGGTGAAGTTAAATCCTTTTAACTATGAAAAGAATACTAATATATATAGATATTAATTTCTAATTTATTTAGATATAAAACAAAAAAAAATGACCCATATTCCCTCTTCCCTAACACACATCCATTAAACTGTCACTCTAGAATTATTGATAATTTTATATATTTTTTTGTTAATTTTCACTCAAAGATATTTTTTCCATTGTGTTTTTTTTTTTTTTTTTTTGAGAGAGTAGAGGGGAAGGAGGAGACTCTAGAGAGAGAGAAACAGAACATCGATGTGAGAGAGACACATTGATTGGTTGCTTCCTGCATGCGCCCTAACCAGGGCCAGGGATCAGACCTGTAACCCAGGTACATGCCCTCGACTGGGAATTGAACCTTTGGTGCATGGGCTGATGCTCTAACCACTGAAAACACTGGCCAGGGCAATAGTTTTATTTTAGTATTCTAAAGTAGAGGGATGTGGGATTGAACTCTTACAGAGAGCCTAAATTGTGATTATAATTTTTTTCTGGAAAACATATAAAAAAGATCATTATAGAGTAAATTATATTTTCCCATAGGGCAGCTGGTTATTGAGTTGTATTTCTTTTTTTTTTTTTATCCTCACCCGAGGACATTTTTCCATTTTTTGTACAGATAGAGTGGGAGGGAGAGAGAGGAAAGGAGAGAGAGAGAGAAACATTGACGTGAAGGGACACATCGAGTGGCTGCCACCCGCACGACCAACCAGGGCCGGGGACAAACTGCAACCGAGGTACGTGCCCTTAGCGGGAACCGAACCCGGGTCTCTCCGGACCGCAGGCCGACGCTCTAACCGCTGAGCCAAACTGGCCAGGGCTTGAGTTGTATTTCTAAGATACAGTTATAAATCTCTATAATTTAAAAAATAGGAACATTATTCAATTTTACTAAATCAGCATATGTGCATCTTGCAAGTTACCCCAAAATAAAGTATAAATGTATATTTATACACATAAGAAATGATATACAATTTGACTTAAAAATATAAGTCATGGTGTTAAATATTGAAATAATACTTTTGGGGTCTTAACATCTGGAAGATTTGAGAGACTGAACACTCAAAATAAAAATTAGCTAAAAAATTTAATAAAATATGTTTTTTTCCTCCACTGAAATTTACTATAGAAAGTACAGGCTGTCAGAATATGTCTGACCTTAGAACTCTATATAAGATACTGAATCAGATTCTGGGTGAGTAAAGCTTAATTATCAAATATTTATTTGACAAATATTTGAGTGCCAAACACTTTTTTAAGAACTATATTCCTAGTATTGAATAAGAGTGGAAATCCTTGCCTCTTAGAATTTTTATTCTAGTTGGAGAGCAAACTAAACAAAAATGTAATAAGTAATATATAAGGGAGTACTATAAGTGTTACGAAGCAAAATTAATTGGGAAAGAGAAATGAGGGTACAATTTTAAATAGAGTAGTCAGAAATGGCCTCACTAATGAGGTGATATTTGAGTGAAAACCCAAAATGAGTAAATAGTAAGCCAAATACCCATGGAGAAATGACTTTTTACAGAAATGTGTTTAGCATGTTCAAGGGATATCAGAGTCTAGTCAGTGTAGCGTATCAGCAGGAACAAGGGAAAGAGTGCTAAGAGGTAAGTAAGATGGAGAGGTAATGAGGAACCAGATCATGTAGGGACTTTTCAGCTATGGAATGAAGATTTTACATTTTACTTGAGTGGTAAGTCACTGGAAGGTTTTGAGTGGAGGAATGAAATTTTCAGCTCTACATTTTAAAATATAAAAGCTGTGTGATCATAGACTAAAGAGAAGCTGGAGAAGGAGCAGAAACGTTTGGAGGTTTTTTGCAGTCTTTCAGGATAGGGATTGTAGAGGCTTGAATAGGCTGGATGCATGGGAGGTGATTGGAAGTGGTTAAACTTGGGATGTATTTTGAAGGTAGAGCTGGTAGGATGGAGATAGAGAGGATTTAAAGAATGAATTCAAGATGTTTGAGTCAAGCAACCAAAGGATTGGATGTTGCCATTTACTTAGATAAGGAGCACTGGTAGAGGAACACATTTACAGAAGTATTTTTGAATTTGAGATGGATGAGTGTTAAGTATTAACCAACTGGTCCTTCTCCTCCTGACTGTGCACATACAACCTCACTACCAGGATGTTTTTGTTTGTCTTTAATCATTTTATATGTGCAAAAAGTTGCAAAAATAATCCAGATATTTCCTGTCATCCTTCTCCCAGCTTCCCTAATGTTAACATCTCACCATAGTATAATAATCACAAACAGGGAATTAAAATAGGTACAGTATTGTTCCCTCAACCACAGTCCTTATTCTCATTTCACCAGCTTTTCTACCAATGTCATTTTTTAGGATCCAATCCAGGATTCAGTGTTGCATTTAGTTGTCATGTCTCCTTAATACACTTCAGGCTGTTACAATTCCTCAGTTTTTCATTGTCTGTTATGACCTTGACACTTGAAGAGTATGGGGCAGTTGGATATTATTTTAGATAATTCCTCCATTTGGGTTAGTCTGAAGTTTCCTCATGAGTAGAATGGGGTTATGCATTTTTGGCAAGAATGCAGCAGATATGCTGTGTGCCCTTCTCAGTGCATCATATCAGAGGGTTCATGATATATTGATACCTTTGATATATAGATATGTGTGTTTGCACTTGCACAATATGCCATAGTCCAGGTGGCTTAAATAGCAGACATTTATTTCTCACAGTTCTGGAGGCTGAGAAGTTTAAGATCAAGGTGTCTGGTGATGTCCTGCTTCTTAATTTGCAGGTGGCCATCTTCTCTATGTATTCACATGGCAGAGAGGAGAGGAAGGAAGCAAGCTCTCTGTGTGTCTCTCTTTTTTTTAAAACCTCACTGGAGGACATTTTTGCATTTATCTTCAGATAGAGCGGGAGGGAAAGAGAGAGGAAGAGAGAGAGAGAAACATCGATGTGAGAGAGACACATCGAATGGTCGCCACCCACATGACCCCAACTGGGGCCGGGGACAAACTGCAACAGAGGTACGTGCCCTTAGTGGGAACCGAACCCGGGACTCTCTGGTCCACGGGCTGATGCTCTAACCGCTGAGCCAAACCGGCCAGGGCTCTCTGTGTCTTTTATAAGGACACAAATTCCATTCATGTGGGCTCCACACGTGTCCCTCCTCCAAATACTATCACATTGGGATTAGGCTTCAAAATACCAATTCTAGAGGGACACACACATTCAGTTCATAGCAGTATGGTAATACAATAATAACAACATTACAATTATGGAAATATGTTAAAATTTGTGCTGTTAACCTTGAACAATTGGTGTTACTGGGTTTCTCTTTAGTAAAATTACAATTTCCCGTTGTAATGAATAAATATCTTGGAGATACTTGGAGACCATGAAAGTAGTCACAAACTTTCATCAACTAATTTTAGTATCTATTGGTAGATTTTGACTTTTCTTCTACATTATTAATTGAAATTTTTGTGTAATGGAGAGCTATTCCTTCTCCCTCATTTATTTGTTTATTATATCAACAGGAACTCATTTTAGTCTAGGTTTATAATACAATATTATTATTTATTTTGTTGCTCAAATTGTTCCAGTTTAGGCCATGAGTTCCTTCAGGTTGGTTCCTGTGTCTTTTTGACATGTTCCCATTCTTTTTTGAGTCATGATTCTTTGTATTGGAAAATGGTGTTTAGAAATTAAGATGTAGGCATTAGGTGTGCTTATTGCTGCTGGGTTGTTACTTTTTCTAGAGCCCAGGGAACATGTATGTTTACTACCAACACATTCATATCTATATTTCTATGTATATTTTATATGTACATATGAAATCATGAGCTCATACTTTTATACCTCTGATTCTAGTCCAGTACCACAGCATTTCAGTCTTTCCTGTTTGTTATTAGTAACTTCTCTCTCACTGGTGAGAATCCTGACTCTTACTATCTATAATAGCTTTACTTGTTCAGTCTTAGTATACAAATGGTTTCAGAATTGCTAATCCATATCCCTTTAAGAAACTAGATTATACTATTTGTGTATAGCTTTTAAAAAATCTTTAGCCTTAGACTATGCAGTCAAAATACTTTTTTCCAAAGTCACTGTGATTAATTTTTTTCCAACCCCTTTCAGCATGGTCATGTTAATTGGTTCATTGGTAATACCATTAAGTGCTTCATTTTTATATTTATGTTAGTTTCTTTCCATATTCTATTTGGTCTAAATTTTTTTTTTTTATCCTCACTCGAGGACATTTTTCCATTTTTTGGTCAGATAGAGTGGGAGGGAGAGAGAGGAAGAGAGAGAGAGAAACATTGACATGAAAGGGACACATTGAGTGGCTGCCAACTGCACAACCAACCTGGGCCAGGGACAAACTATGACCGAGGTACGCGCCCTTGGCGGGAACTGAACCCAGGTCTCTCTGGACTGCAGGCCGATGCTCCAACCGCTGAGCCAAACCGGCCAGGGCGGTTTAAATAGTTTTTTGAATATGTGAACATTACTGTAGTTCTAAGAGTCAGAGGTAAACAAAAAGATTCTCAGATATATTCACTGCTAGGTTTTAGTGACAGGTCTCAGAATAAATTCTGTCAGTCATACCCACATTTATTAAACATTCTTTAGTGAATGGCACAAAGTAGTTCATATATTCTGCTTTGTAGTTTTCTTTTGGTACTCTGACCACTGCTTTGTATAAAAAGTTCACTCTAAGCAGGCATAGCAAATTCCAGAGGCAGGCATTTGTAACCCTTGTGGTGGTTCTCAGGCAACCAGAAATTATTCTAAACGAGTGGCTGGAAGCAGATCATTTAGATAGTGCCTCAGGTGCTGTCTCCAGGGGTGCAGGAGGGGAGTATAAACCTAATTGGATCCTTATGCCGTTTTTTTTTTTTAATTTAATTTTGGTAAAATCTACATAATATAGAATTTACTGTTTTAACCATTTTGAAGTGTACAGTTCTGTGCAATAAGTACTTTCACATTGTACAACCATTACCATCACCCATCTGAAGAACTTTTATCTTCCTGAAGTGAAACTCTATACCCATTAAACATTAGCTCTCAATTCCCCCTTTCCCACAGCTCTGGCCAGTGCAATTCTACTTTCTGTCTCAGTGACTTTGACTATTCTAGAAACCTTGTATGTGTTAGTCTGCTCAGGCTGCCAAACAAAAGACCGTAGGCTATGTGGCTTCAACAGCAGAATTTTATTCTTTCAGTTCTGGAGGCTGGGAACTCTACGATAAAGTGCTGGCTGATTCTGTTCCTGGGGAACAAGCTCTCTTCCTGGCTTGTAGATGGCTGCCTTCTCACTGTGGCCTTACACGGCCTTTCCTCCAGCTCTCACGTGTCTCTTCTTATAAGGACACTAATCCTGTGGTGTCAAAGCTCCCACTCTTATGACCTCATTTAACCTTAATTACCTCCTTATGGCCCTGTCTCCAAATACAACTGAATTCAAGGTTATGACTTTAACATGAATTCTGGGACACAATTCAATCCATGGCATCATATAAGGAATCTGGCTTATTTCACATGTTGTATCCTATGTCAACATTTTCTTCCTTTCTTAGATTTCTATAATACTCCATTATATGTATGTACTGTGTTTTGTTTATCCCCAGTCGTCTGCTGATGAACACATGGCCTGCTTCCACCTTTTTGCTATGTGAATAATGCTTCTATGACATGGGTATATAAGTATCTGTTTGAGCTTCTACGTTCACTTCTTTGGTTATATAACCAGAAGAGGAATTGCAGGTTGTATGGTAATTCTATGCTTATATTTTTGAGGAACTGCCATACCATTTCCACAGCATCATTTTACCTTCTCACATTATTTGTTTCTTTTTAAAAAAAAATGTTTTCAATTACAGTTTACATACAATATTATTCTGTATTAGTTTCAGATGTACAGCATAGTGTTTTCTTACACCCTGTTCATATAGCTGCGAAGTGTGTCTTTAGAAATCTTTTTAGCCCTTATGCATAACTTGGAATCTCTGCACCAGTGGGAACTCACTTCTGATGTTCTTATGCTAGTCAACAATTTCCTCTAGACTTGAACTTTAAATTGTACATATATTTTACTGTCTATGTTTAAATATATCAAATCACAGACATCTTAGATCTATTTGTCACTTTTTGGGTAGTTTTCAGGACACAGCAACTCATGTGAATAGTGTAAAAATAATAGGTTGGTAAGACTTTTAAAAAGAAGGTAAAAAATATCCCTTACAGATTATTTTAAAAGAATCTTGACCACCTTATGTGGCTAAGTGCTGTTGCCTTCTTTGAATGCAGGAAAGATAACTGAGTTATGCATGTTTTTTAGGTAGCAAGGAATGTGTGGCCCATCAAGAGGTGGAAAACTTGTATTCTGTGTTCAAAACACTTAAAATTGTGAAGGGAATACTGTATTTAAAGTTCTAGTCCTTGCTCAAGCTCCATTTGCGCACCTGAAAAGAACAGATTGGCAGACCTGCTCTCTGCGAACATTTTGGTTCTAAAAATCTATGATTATAAATGTATTAAATGAATGCATTGCAAATATAGACAAATACTATTCATTTTGAAAGAGCAAAGACTAGAAAGGATATACCAAACTTAAAAATGATTGTCACTAAGTAACTTTATTTGAGAACTGGGAAAGGGGAGGTGGTAAGTTATGTACAATTTTTAAAAACATTTTATTGACATGTATTGTTTGGATTTTTGTATTAATTTTGTATTGGGGTAGAATAATACAAAATACAACCTTTTGCCCCTGAATGTTGGTGGTTAATTGTTCATCTGTTTTAACCTTAGAGCTGTACCCTGTCTGGAGGAAAACATCATGGTCCTGTTGAAGCCTTGAAACAAATGTTATTTAATCTTCAAGCCGTACAAGAAAGTTTTAATCAGAATAAAACGACAGAGCCAAAAGGAGAAATTCAGCAAGTAAGCACAAACTTGATTTATGAATTGGAATCTGTGAAGAGAGAAGATTCCTTTCTAGATTCTCTAGTTTGACCTCTAGTTTTATGTTAATAAGCATGCCACATAACACATGTTGTAGAGTTATATTACTCTTTTTTTTCAGAAAGTAACTAATTCAAATTGAGCACTATTAGATTTCTGCAGCTGTATATCCATGAATGGATTGTTATTTAGTTTATGCTTATAAATACCACATTTGTAGGTATGAAAGGATTATAAAAGTTGTTTTTTTAATGGCCTACACAATTATTTGTATAGTCCAACTTGTATTTATAAATTGGGGAGATCTGGAAAACCTTCTCAACATTAGACTTCTCCACATACCTTTATCATGTGAAATTTAATTTTGTTACCATGCGTTTATTGACTTCTGAATACAGTTATGTAAAGTTTTATTTTAAAACCATTGTATTTTTGTGTATTTCCTAGGAATTCGGAAATCTGTTTCTGCTTTGGGCTACTTTCTGGAGAGTTTTTTTTTTTTTCCGCAGTAATATAGTGTGTATGAATATATTTTTATTCATAACTTGAGAGAAAGTTTATATAATCCCAAGTCTGATTGTAAATTCTAATTCTTCCACTTACTAGCAAGAGATTTGTATCTCTTTAGTTTCAGTTTTCTTTTCTGTAAAATGAGGTTGTTGAGAAATTGAGACAGATTATATAAAGTACTTATTACAGTGCTTGGCACCAGATAAAAATTTAATACCTTAATAATAAAATAATTGCCTTATAATAATAAAAACTTTAAATAACTTAAATGATAATATTTAAATTATGTAAAGAAAATAATATCTTAACATACTTAAATGTTTTTATTATCATTGTTTGTTTTGGTACGGTTATTCAGTATAGAGCTTTCTGAAATTGAGTTTCATTGCAAATGATTAGATCAGCTCTTGGGAACTACTACAGCCTGTTCTTTGGAGTTGTATTTCTTCATTTTTCTCTTTCCATTCTAATGATCATAACCTTAACATACAGAGTGTTAATACATTTTCCTTTTTCTCCTCTTTTAAACATTGAGACATAACCCAATTCATTAAAGTAATAATTTCAAGCCAAGGTTTGATTTTTATTGGACATAATTTAGAAGCATACGTTAGAACAATTGAAAGATGAGTCTAACTAGTAGTTGTATTTTTGAATAAAGAGAAAAAATATTTAATGCTTTACTGAAAATTATTTGCTAGAATTATTTCTTTGGAAATGAAGACAGTATTTTTACTCTTCTTTTAAATCACGTATTAAATAACATTAAGTTTATGGTTATATAATATTTTCAGTATTTGTTTCATTTGGTGTTTTTAATAATAGGTTTCAGAAGATGATGATTTCTCTAAATTACAATGGAAGGAAAGTATGGCCCCTATTACGAGGTCACTTCAAAAGTAAGTATCCTCTACTAATTTTTGAATATTTTATGGATACAAATCCAATTTAGCCATCTCTTGGATTGAAATCAGAAGGTTACAGGATGGAATTAAGTAGTTCTAAGAATATGGTAGGTACAGTGAAGCATTTTGGAACATATTGTTTAATCCTGAAGTTTTCTCTTAAACCTGTGCTATTTTCTATTTAAAATGTTGTTAGGACCTAATGCTATAACTTTAGACACATGAAATATAATGAGTATGAATGACCTACATTGATGCTTTTTCATTGTTGAGCAACAATTTGAGTATTGGTATGGATATCCTGGAAGAACAACGTGTCCGTGACATATATTTTCATACAGTTCCTCTAGAATAAATATAATAATCATAAATGATTCATTATTTGACCTATATCCACAGAAAACTAAAAGTAGAAATAATGTCCTGGATATAGAGATAGGCCTGAATACCCTAAGGGTGATAATCTACTTATTTTCTTAGTTAAAAGGTGGGGAAGAATACATGTCTTTCCTAATAGGTAGAAGGGAAAGAAAGGTATTTATGGGTTTGGTTGTATGAATATAAAGTGTTCTCAGAAGATATAAATGTAAAGTGTTCTACTGAGCTTAGGAAAAGCTAAGATTAAAATCTTTACTTTCATAACACCATTTCACTTGGCTGTACTCAGTGTTGTATATAACCCTTAAATTGATGTTTTCCCCATTAGCCTGTTTTTTTCACTTTTTTAGAAAAAATTAATCAAGAATAATTTCCTTCTACAATTTTATTCTTCATTTCTCCCTACACATACTTTTGAAACAGCAATCATTTTTTTTTTATAGCCTCTTTTTTAGTAGATTGTTTTATTCGCAGCAGGGCAGATAGAGGTTAAATGAAAGGAATTGCCAGCTGACTGTGTGGCAGAGGTAGGGAGACTGATTTGATCTCTACTTAGCTCTTCTATTCCTCCCCATCATGCTGCACCCTCCCCTCTACTTCCCTCCTTCCTTTCTCCCAGACATTGTTTTTTAAACATAAAATATACTACATAGCATTAGAAAGGAAACCAGTTATACTGAATTATGGTTATGAAAATAAATTTCTAACTAGTAATATGTGATTATTAATACATTTAAAATAAGACTACATTTAAAATATAGATAAGTTAAATTCATTTTGTATAAACAATAAATACAAAGGTCTTTTGCATCACTTGAATAAAAGCTTTAAGTCATGGCATGGTCTTTTACTTGCCTTTCACATGTTGATCAGCAAACAATTAGAGAAAGAGAGTAATGGTAAGCATTGATTTCAGGGTCACCAATGAGACCTCACTATTCAGTGGATGAACAACTAGGCTTAAATTTGTCTAGTAGTTGACCAGTTAAGTTATATGAACTTTTGGACTGTAGACAGAAAAACTTAGATAACTATGTTCTAGCAGTGTATTTGATACCTATTGTAATTTTGTAACTATCATACAACTATTTTGAAGTAGTGATGAGTTTAAAAGATTTTGAGATTCCTCCAGTGACTTTAAGGTGATATGAAAATATCTCTGATTTCTGTGGCATATGATTTTGATCTGTTGCTTACATGCATATGGAAAGAAATTCTAATTTACAGATAGTATTTAGTGAAAATAAGGATGAGGATTTTTTTTCCCCTGACACAGTTTCATAGACCCTTTAAATCCAAGGGATCTGTGGCCATTGTGGTTGTAAACAGTAAGGTAAGACTCTAGTCACTTGCCTTTTTATTTCTCTTGAATCACAGGTAGTTAAATAACAAGCCTGAAAAGAAAAAGGAAGCTAATTCCCAAGTATATTTACAGATTATCCTTTTTCTCATAACTGTATGTCTCTAGGAAGAAAATAATTCTTTAGGTAGAGAGGTATTTCTGTGGGATGTAGAAATGAAAGGGTCTAGTTAATTTTACCTCTGATTGCTTAGTAACTTGGGTGAGTTACTGTCCTTTACTTAAAGAAGATGAGAATCTCAAAAATTAACTGAAGTTGCCAAAAGGGTAGCAGAATCCAGATTCTTCTATTATTAATTATATTGGAGTAAGTGTCCAAGAAAGACAAATGAGAAATAGACATAATGCAGTATTTAGCACTATTAGCTTCCTCCATGTCTTTATCCTGGGTAAAGATTTATTTAATGGCCCTGGCCAGTTTGGCTCAGCGGTTAGAGCGTCGGCCTGCGGTCCGGAGAGACCCGGGTTCCGTTCCCGCTAAGGGCACGTACTTCGGTTGCAGTTTGTCCCCGGCCCTGGTTGGTCGTGCGGGTGGCAGCCACTCGATGTGTCCCTTCACGTCGATGTTTCTCTCTCTCTCTCCCTTCCTCTCTCTCCCTCCCACTCTATCTGTACAAAAAATGGAAAAATATCCTCGGGTGAGGATAGATAAAAAAAAAAAAAAAAAAAAAAGATTTAATGTACATTTATTGAATCTGTGTTAAAGACTGTCAAATAGGTTGTTGTAGTTACCACCTTTAGCTCACATTAGCAATTAACCGTTAGAGATTACTGCACACATTGTTATATTTGTTTTTCTTGATCTCTTATTTATCAGAGATCTGAAATATGGTTGATTAATATGGTTGACATTTTCTCAGTGGCCTTCAGATCTGAAGGAGAGGAGAGGAAAAGTGAACAGTATTTCTAGGGAAGATTGGAAAGTTAAGGGCCTTTCTTTTCCTGGTTTGTTTGAGAGGTGACTGAGTTTTCTCCACTGATACCTGACCTATAATCTTAGCTTTATTAGTGAAAACCAGGTTGTTGGTATAATACTACACTATTCAACATAATTGTCATTTGTTTCCTCCATGCTCAATAAAAATGAGTTTTCCTCAGAACTGTAACTGATCCTTTAGTGTTATTTAAAAATTTTTTTAGCTATCTTGAATGTACATGTTAAAAATAAATACAGTCTTGGCCAGTTTGGCTCAGCGGTTGAGCGTCGGCCTGTGGACCAGAGAGTCCTAGGTTCAGTTCCCGCCAGGGGCACGTACCACAAAAAACAAAACAAAACAAAACAAAAACTACATACATTATTTCTGAAATGATATACACAGTATACCAAGAGAAGAGGTATTTTTTATAGACTTGTAAAATATGTTTTATTAGGTGTGATAACAAAGGATATCTATTATTGTTTTTTTTGTTAAGCTTACTTGGCAGACTTTCAAAAAATAAAAACTTTGAATGTCAAAAATATAATTTTTAAAAGTAAGTGTTTTCATAGAATTTTAGATAAATTATTATAACCCTCAATTATTCAAATATCAAGGTTTTACAAGGAAAAAATTCTCAGTTTGATACTTGTAATCCTATAAATTCATTCCTCATACTAACTACAAAGTTAATAAACAATGTAATCACAATTTCTTGCTGTCTGCGTTGCCTATTCAGTCCTTAATATTGGTTTATAATGTGTTTTATACTTTTTAATGAAGGGCTTTGCACCATTTATCTCGCCTGAGAGACCTGGTTGATGATACCAGTGGGAAACAGTCACCGAAAATATGAAGAGGAAAATAAAAGTCTAACCAATAAATAGTCACCACAAAACAAAAATGTATTTTTTTCCTATTGCTTAAACTGGCAAAGTAATTATAAGCCATACACTACTCTGATTGGTTCAATTATTATATATTTAAAAAACAAAAACTTGAAAATGTCTGTAGGTTTTGTGACCTGTCCTCATTTTGTGCCAAAGTACCAGAATGTCACGTGGAAGGACCTACACTATGTCCTGTAGTCTGACTCTTTGGTCTTCAGGCCAGCAAATGTCCAATATTCAAAGATGGATGATTTCCGTTCTTGAAGCTCCCATGGACTTAACCTTCTTCAGCACCCTCATCATTTTATCATCTGGTTCTGGATTATTAAGTAACTCTTCTAGTCTCTATTTAAAACCTCTTAAATGGAATAGACTTTTTGATACAATTAGCATCCACTTTTAAAGAGCTTAAAGGAATATAAAAATCGATGTGTATCTTACTGTACGGTAATATGTTACTTTTAAGTTTTGTAAATCAAATATTTAAGATATGTTGTATTTGCAAATAACATTAATAATAAGGTGGTTCAGTGCTAAAGGAATATTGTTTTATGTTGTGAAATCCAAGAGAACTTTATTTAATTAATGCTTTGATTTGATTCTCTGTAAGATAGTCTTTTAAAAAAAGATTTTAGAGAGAGGAAGGGAGAGAGAGAGATATACATTGATTTGTTATTCCACTTCTTTATACATTCGTTGGTTGAGTCTTATATGTACCCTGACTGGGATCGAAGCCATAACCTTGGTGTATTGGGACGATGCTCTAACCAACTAAGTTATCCAGCCAGGGCTTAAGATAATCCCAATAATGCTGGACAGTTTACAAAACATTTTTTGGGGGTGATATTTGAAAATTTAATATTTTGATATTAGATTATTTCCCGGATTTCAGTTTTGGGGTTAGCTCAAATTAGTAGAAACTATGAGATAAGTGACCAATTGCATTAGGAAAATTTATAGCTAAACTTAAAGAAATTGGATATGGGAAATCAGAAAGCAGTACTCTATTTTAAAGCTATTTTGTAAGAACTGAACTTTCTCTGAAGCAATCTGTGGTCTTTAAAGTTTGTCTCTACTTAGAAGTGAGTCATATTTAAGTTATTGTGACTAATGAAGTATATTAAAAAGCCTGATGAAATTAAATAATATCTATGCATACAAACACTACAAATTACCACTTGACCCAAATGGCAGCATATTTGCTAAGTAGCTTTATTATTAAATAGGGATTTTTAAGTACATAAGGTCAGAGAATTTGCTTTTTATTTTCTCCAGATTTAAAGCTCTATATAAAACTTTTGTTATACAATTTGTCAAAAATGTAGAGAAAACCCTGTCCTTTTTTTCTTGGCAAGTGAGTCCGAGTTATCATACTGTTCTCTTTGCCCTGTTTGAGAGTCTCTTGCCTCAGTAAGTTTGTTTTGTTTACTCTGTGGAGGTGTCTGTTAGTGACATTCTATTTTCTGATTATCTTATAGTCTGCTTCTCAGCTAATATTTTGCAGCCAATCAAACAAGGCATTACTTTGATGGTTTAAAATGGGGCTTAGCTGTTGCAGACTTTAAGTGAGTGAACATCAGGTAGATCTGGGTTGATCATGCTCCAGGCTTAGTGAAATCCACGAAGGTAGAGAAGATAAAGATATCATGTGATAAACTCTGAACTACATAATATATGTTTGAACTACAGAATATATACTTACAAAGCATCTCCAACGGGATTATGTGTAATGACTCTGAATAGCACTGGTTTGCTTAGTGCACCCGTTTGCAAGAACACATCTCCAATTCTAAATAAAGTAAGCCTGCTCTAAAATTTTATGTTATAATTAATATTTTAAGAAGCTTGATTACATTTACCAAAGGAGCATTTTCTTTTGTTAAATATGAAAGTTTAGTCTTTTACTTAAAAAGGGAATAAACTTACCAAAATGATTAATTCCAACCTTTAAAAAAGTATGTAGGAGAGTCGACTAAGAAAAAATCTAAATGAGTCCTGGCCAGCTTGGCTCTGTGGTTAGAGCACCATCTGGCACACCAAAGGGTAGTAGTCAATTCCCTGGCCCGGTCAAAGGCATGTACCTGGGTTGCAGGTTCATTCCCTAACCCCGGTTGGGGTGCGTGTGGAGGCAGCCGATCAATGTTACTTTCTCTCTCTTCTTCCCTGCTCCTTCCTTCCACTCTCTGTAAAAATTCAGTGGAAAAATATCCTCAAGCGAGGATGAACAAAAACAAACTAAATGATAAATGTTCAAGAAATTAAAGACTTTATTAATGTTAGATATTTCAGTATTGAAAAAAATCTTTTTTACATCCTCACCCGAGGATATATTCATTGACTTTTTTTTTAGAGAGAGATTGGCACGAAGAGAGAGAGAAACATTGCTCAGTTGCCTCCCATACGTGCCCCAACCAGTGATTGGACCTGCAGTCTAGGTATGTGCCCTGACCAGGAATCAACCTGCAACCTTTTGTTGTCTGAGATGATGCTCCAGTCAACTGAGCCACCCAGCCAGGGCTCAGTAATTTTTATTTTGAGATTTCCTGGGAAAAACGGGAGACTACAGTATTAAGACTGCTGAGTTGGGAATTTAAAGCAATAATGAGAACAGATAGATTTTTTTAAATTGCATTGTGAATATAAAATGTTATCAGTCTTTTTCTCGTAGGTATATTGAAACATGTTAAGTAGAAAACAAAATTTTTAATTGAGTATGAAAAAAATTAACCTAATTCCAAAAGTTATTTGAGATCAAGGGATGAAAGTGTGATGCACATATGATAACAAAAACTGTATTTTGTATCAATAAGAACTCTACTTTTAATTTTTTTCTGTGATAATTCATTTTAGCTTCATGGGAGATTTCTGACCAAATTGAGGAGCTCTGTCTTGGGTTTGTTTGAGTTATATGTCTTCTCTTTTTATGTTATTTCTTGTTGAAATTTCTATTGGTGGATATTTTTGGTATTTTGTATTTAATGTTTATGATACTGTCTTATTAAATTACATACAGTTATACCAGAATGTTGCCTGAAGATGAAACAAGACAAGATTCCTTTCCCCCCACCCCTATTTTGAATACATGCAATTACTCATAGATTTGGATTGTTGTTTCATTTTTTCTGGTGCACTTTTCACTGTGTCTCAAAACCTATTTGGTAGAATGCTATCATGAAGTGAGCTTGCCAAAGGGCACATGGTATGAAAGGAGATAAAAGAAGTAGTAGGCCAATAAAATTGGTAATTTATGAACAACTGAAGTTTCTTCAAATGTGGAAGACTGTGGGTCATTCTGTTTATTCCCTCTATCAGTTGGAAGTTTCATACATGGGGAGATGTTGGTTTGGGTTGTAGTCCCTATCATGATGGTGGGGACAAACCTAGGCCTAACCCTGAACATATTATAGAGCAATAATGGTTAGATATTTTTCTTGTGGTATTTGAAGCTATTCCTTTCCTACTTCTCTGCTTCCTTCCTTTCCTTCTTTATAGTCAGTCATCTGTGGTTAAGAGCATTTTCTTTTTTTGAACTAAAAAATCTTAGCTTTTTACCACCCTAGTTTATTTACATTATTCTTACCCTAGATGGGACTTGTCTGTGTAACAACCTTTATCACAGTGTAACAAACTTATATTTATCTATCCTTCACCACGTTAAGTGAGACTAGTCCATTCACCTCCTAATGCCTATTTCAACCTTAACCCTTCCTCCCCTCACTTTCAGCCCTTACACTGCGGACGGACGGACTGGTCTCTGCAAGACACTGCTTGTACACCAGCCACCACCGTAACCTTATGCTTATTTCAGCACGTGAGCTGCGACTCCAGCGCTTTACTCATGTGCTCCCCAACTTTCCCTGGAAATGTTCTCCCCTTGGTGCATGTTATTCCCGTACTTGAAATACTCAGTTTTCTTTCCTTTAGATGATCTAAAGCTTACTCTGCTATTTCTCTAAAGCTCTGTCCAAGTCTTGTATTTCCTGGTCCAAACATTCTAACCTTCCAAACTCTGGTAGTTTGGCCTTCTTTTTTCTTCCCCTATAACTCATTAAGCTATTATATTACTTATTTTATTTTGGAAGAGTTATTTCTTTGGATGTTACTGTGGCTGTTTATCAAATAAGATAAACCTTTTATTTGTGTAAGTATTTTGTATGATTTAGCTGTAAGCTTTCTAACCCCCTGATCCCTGAAAACAGATTTTTGAATTTGCATATATTTTGCATTTCATCAGATACACACTATTTTACTTACCTAGAACTAAGTCTAAGAAAACTTTCAGTGACTGGTTTCATTGTGTTGCTTTCTTGAGGCTGGCTCAATGGGAAACCATCAGTAGGGCCCAATCCCAAGCCGAAATTATTAAAAAATAATTTTAAGCAAGGGAAATTTAATATAAAAATGTTTTAAGCTGTGACAAAGGAGATAATAGAGAACTCAATATGGTACCCCAGAGCTGAGGGGGAGAGTACCTGAGGAAGGACAAACTTGGAAGAGGGGTCCTGAGATTTGGGTTTGGACCTTGTTGAAGAAGGGGTAACTGCAGCCCCTTGGACGGCAAAGTTGCTGCTCTGCCCAGACTAGTTGGTCTTCATACACTAGAAAAGAGGGAGCCACCTCCAAGGTTCAGGGAAGCTGTAGCTGGTGACTGGGTCTGGGGGCATGCAGAGGGCGTGAGCGGACCCGGTGCTGGTGGGACACCTGGACCATGAGGTGTTGGTCTTGGAAGGGCCGAAGGAAGGTAGCCGCCAGCCTGCGCCACGTCTGGGGGGTCGCCAAGGAGAATCATACATTCAGGGATTCTGACTTGTTTCCATGCGGGATGGCTTCATACCCACCTTGTTGACTGATGGTGCAGCCACCAGAAAGCAAGAGAGCCCATTCAGGGTGAATTTGGAGCTGAGACTATGAATTGACAACTGGCACAGAAACTGATCAGGTTCTAGAAAGGTTTTTGTGGGAGAGAAGATCATAAGGGAAATACAAAATGCCTCACCTGCCTACCTCCGCCCTCCCAGT